CTTTCTCGTCATGTATTATCGTTTTTATAATTACATTACATTACTTTTATATTAGCATCTTAGAGAATATGAAAAAATACTTTATCCGGCGCTTTCCGTATACGATTTTTTAACACAGGTACAATGCAGTGCTTAAAATGCTTATAATATAAAGTCATGCATTGGTTAATTACAATGCAAAATAGTCTAATCATATTATACGAAAATAGCCCTGGTTTGCGAAATGATTGTAGAGTCTGATTTTATTGCTGCAAGTTGTCCAAGGGGGTATTCGAAACACGGACGTATAAAATGGGTACACCAATTTTGGTTTGAAAACTTCTTATTCGACAAAAAAGAATGAGGAAACGTGTCGTCAGAAACGAAGAAACTTTTCATATAAGATTTTTAGGCATTGATTAGGCCTACAAAGTGAGACCACACGTAAAAAGATCCGACTAACAGCAAAAAAGTTATGGCCGAAAACCGAGGCAAACTGCAGGTTTTGGCGCTTGTTGGTAATGCGACGTTGGTTTCTGGCAGATATTTGAAATTCTTGAAATTCCGCAGGATTCGTACTTATAAATAACCACAACAAAATTGGAGTATATCGGAAAGTAGTTTTTTGAGAATTTCTTATTGTTTATTCCGGCCATCATTATCGTTTATTGAGCAATATACAGGGTTCGTTCAAAGATCCTTTAATAGAAAAATACACGTGTTTACCTTATCGATATAAATCGAAATCCATTCCGGAAGATAAATTTTATTTTTATGCAAAAAAGGATGGGTTACGTTTTTCCTTCTAAACAAATTCAAACATTTCGTATTTGTGAGTAATTCGCAACAAAAGATGATAGTCACATCCGCTTTGTTTTAAAATGTGTATAGTAATGTATGATTTTCGAATATCGTAGCGCATTTGTTCAATTACTGACTGATTACGAAACTTTTGAAGTTGTTTCGAAATAAAAAACGTAACCTTCGTTTTCCGCATCAAAATAACATTTATCTTTGCGAATGGTTTATGATTCATTTCGGCAAGGTAAACACGTGTATTTTGTCATTAAATGATCTTTGAACGAGCCCTGTATATTGCTCTATAAACTAGTATACTCTGGGCGCTGAAGAAAGACATTAAACGTAAACAGTGATCAGCACGTGAACAGATCCCTCGAAAGCATCCACGGATATACTCCAGTCACTTTAGGTCTAAACATCCTCGGCAGTGTATTTCTAGTGAATCCACATACCCTTTTTCGTGTCATCTTGAGACTAGAAAAAGGATGACTGTTAAAATAAGTTACCTTGATCTTTCATGAGCTCCCAGTACAAAACATCATCGATATATTTTTGATGTAGGAACAACAAATTGGTTTAGAAAACATCCACTTTGAACCTAAATTGACTGGAGTAACATCGATCTACAGACAAATTCAAGGTCACTAGCAGTCGTCGGCGCTCTACGAATCTGCACAGGTTTGGACTTGTAAACGTGATTGTAGATGACACGACAGGCATCTAACAGTTAATTCACGCACAGGATTGCATTGCATACGCATTACGCATTCAGTAGCGTATACTCGTTTTTCGCGAGTGGAACGTTTTGTTTATATATTGCCTAAGATACGATGTCTGACACAGATACAGCCGACGAAGTGGTTGACATCAGCGCAACCCCACCCAAAAAAAGGGTTAAGAAGCTACATTCAAGTGCAAATGAAAAACAAATAATATTAAATATATACAAAAACCAAATTCAAGAAAAACCCGATTTGGTCGTGGACGAAGTTATATGTAAGGTAGCACATATTTCTGGAGTATGTCGGTCCAGTGTTTATAGGATCATTAAAGAATATAGGAGCACTCACTCACTTTCTGAGCCAAAACCGTATCCTGCAAGAAAAAGGATAACGGACGGAGTAGATGACTTTGACAGAACTGCCATCAGGAGGAAAGTGCATAATTTTTTCTTCCGAAATGAGATACCTACAGTAGATAAGATATTAAGATTAGTTAATGCTGATGAGGATCTTCCATCATTTAAAAGAACCACATTCCGAAAACTTTTGAAGGAACTTAATTTTCGATTCTTGAAACGGGGAAGAAACACTATGTTAATAGAGAAAGAAGAAATTGTTGTGTGGAGAAGGGAATACCTTAGGAAGATTCGGAAGTTTCGCGATGAAAAAAGAAAAATTTACTATTTGGACGAAACGTGGGTGAATGCTGGACATACTCAAGCGAAAGTTTGGGTCGACAAATCAGTAACATCATCAAGGCAGGCTTTTCTAGACGGTCTTTCGGCTGGATTGAAAAATCCTGCAGGTAAGCTCCTTCATCTATCCGGCAATTTAATTTTGATAAATTCGGGCAAATAATATGCTGTGATAGCAGATAATGTGTGATATTCTCCAAAAATGGTGCATTCGTAGTGTAGTCATTAGGAAAAAAACTTCGACCCTCTTTTAAGCGTTATTTTGAAATTTATTATCATTTTTGGGTGCAGTCAATTTGCTTTGAATGGGTTTTGAGAAGTTGCAAACTTCAATTTTTTACGTTTTTCAGTTTTTGATCAGCATTCCGTGACTCTTAAATTCAGCTAAATGAACTCAATTGCCTCATTCCTTCAAATTTAATCAATCCATAGTGTAAGGAATAATTTATTTCCAGGAAAAGGCAAACGGCTGATCATTTGTCTCGTAGGTAGTGAAGACGGCTTTGTTCCCGAAGCACTGTGGGCCTTTGAATCAAAAAAGACAGGGGACTATCATGAGGAGATGGACGGCAATTCCTTTGAAAATTGGTTCTCCAAAATGTTACTAAAGCTGGAGAATAACGCTGTTATTGTACTGGATAATGCCCCGTACCATTCTAGAAAAATAGAAAAAATTCCCACAAGGGCAACTAAAAAAGCAAACATACAACAATGGCTGGCCTCAAAACAGATCGATTTTGATGAAACAATGGTCAAGGGTGAATTGATAAGTATAGTCAATAGACATAAATACAAATACGATTTTAAAATGATCGACGAAATGGCCAAAAAACAAAATAAAACTGTCTTGAGACTGCCACCCTACCATTGTGAGCTGAACCCTATTGAGCTGATTTGGGCCAACATAAAGCAATACGTGGCGTCGAATAATAATACTTATAAATTTTCTGATGTTAAAAATCTCTTTCACATCGCAGTCAATAGAGTTACGGCTGAGGAATGGAAAAACTGTATCCGCCACGTTCGGGAGAAGGTTGAGGTCAAAATGTGGGATTTGGACAATGTCATCGATACCCAAATTGAACCTGTAATAATTCATTTAAACGATTCAGAAGATTCAAGTTCCTCTTCTGAATGAGTGCGCGCAGCTTACTTACTAATAACTAAAAAGTGTAGTTAACTCATTTGTGAATCTCTAACTGAAATTTACTGTAAAAGATAATAATTATCTTGTATGAAATTTTTGATGACTACCCATAATATCTTGATGCGGTCCTGTAATGTCTCCTGCGCCTAAACACTCACTCACGAGCAATATGCGTGTATTTGTTTGGGTTTAGTTTCTTTCTTCAGCGCCTAGAGAATAGTGTTGGCCGGAAAATAGGTTGTTTTGGGATAACTCCAATTTTGTTGCTGTTATTTAGTAGTATGAATCCTACGCTAATATGATTAGACTATGATAGATAAATTCGTAAGTTAATTTTCTGGAAATCAACTGTCACTTAACGCATCATAAGTCTTACTCCTCATTCCACCTCAATTAATGAGAGCTACAAGCTCAATGGCAAGTCGTTGGTTCAAGTAGCAGACATGAAATTTTAGAAATTCACCCTGATGCAGCTTGTCACCTGTCTCTTTTGCAACCTGAAGGCTGCCACAAGTACTTATAATTTCATATTATCACGCACAGTTAGCTTCTAAAGCAAAATATTGCATTGAGAACAATAGCTGGAATGGCACCCCGTGGATCATGCAAAGAACTTTTCGAGAGGTAACTCATGTAAAATCCAATTTACGTAACTTTCCAGTTATTTCAGTTTTTCATACCTATAACACTCGTCATGATACTGCAATAGTCATCCCCGCATATAATTCGCTCAATATTGAAACCCAACTATCTCGGCATAAAACTGTTTGACAAACTAGAAAATTTGATTAAATACTCTAATGCTCTGGGAGTATGCTAGAAGACGATGACAAGCTAGTTTCTGCAAGGTCTTTCTAAAGTGAGTCCGAATATCTGGACTCTTAAAAGTGAGCTATTAGGCCTCTACTGTAATGTTTTGTGCTTTGAGGTCACTTATAGTTATCATACGTTGCATTACTTTTCTGTAAAAATTATATGTATACGATCCTTGAGTGTGTATTGACGTCTCCTATGTCATGTAAATCTGTACCCCGGAGCCAGACTAGGTTAAGTCCATTTTTTATCAAAAATGAGTTTAATATGTTAAGCTAATATTGTGAATTTTCATTTGCTACATGCAGCGTCCATCTATCTTTAATAATAAGGAAGTTTCGACTTGTTAACTCATATCAACTCGTATTTAATACAATGCAAGAAAAATATATATTTCATATATAATTATCTCAAAACTACTTATTTGGACTTAAGCTAGTCTGGCTCTTAGGTACAGAAATATTTGTTCGGTTGGAATAAATTGCTCCAAAAGGGCGGCGTTTGAGCCAACGTCATTGGCATTTCAGTTTTAAATATTTAATTTAAATAAATAAGTGCTGGGGAATGGAATATGTGTTTTTAGGCTCAAACTCTGTAGGGCTCTAGGTTGACAAGTGTTTCTAAACGTTGATCCAAAGCTCCTCTGATCCAAAGACTTGAAAATTACGCGGATTAAAATCAAACTTCTTAGATGACAGCTTTATCTATTCCATTCGAACGTAAAAACATTTCCGCATGCCGGATATCGCTAACAATACCTGAAGCAATTCCTATAGTAGAGCAAATTTGGACGAACGTTGACATTTCATGATGCACACGATCTTGCACTATTGTCATTTTCAGGTTCATAGCGGTGATGTATAACGAAACAGAAGGTATTATACCTGGTAACGCCTTGGTGGTCGATGCAAAGAAGCAATTTCGACCGCTGTCTTGCTTCGGAAATGCCTTCCTGAACAGATTCCAATGCTCCTTGGTGAAATCTACTGTACTTAGAGGCATGTCTATTATTGATACACCAGGCATTTTGTCAGGTATAAAATGTAGGTAGTTTTGTAGGTTAAAAATAGTTGCTTTGGAGTTCGATGCATGTTTGGAGGCTTGCACATTTTGTCACTAACAGGTCTTTAATAATGAAGGATGTTTCCAGAATTTCTATATTTAATCATAGAGTATAGAGGATAGAGTTATAAGCTTAAATACTGGCATTGGCGCAAACCGGCTTAATTTAAATTTGTTAGATTTTTCTCAAAGCACACTAGGTCTCAACCTACCGTAAAATTTATTTCAGAATCCTGCCCTGAAAACCGCATTAAGACGAACATTTTTTTGTTTTCACAACTCAACAACGGCCGTATTCATGAATAATGTTTAGTGTGCCATTTCCAGCTACAATAATTTTTTCTGTGAAAAATCCCGACACGGTCGTGATCGTACATCTTTATTTAATGGCCACTCTTCCTTCCTCTGGGCAAAAAAGATACTCTGCTTCCCAGACACACACACACACAGAGGCAGCACCTGCGTCTCCAAGACCTCCAAATCCCGAATTACACCTTCATTTTCTCCATGCAGCACGGCTATAAATCTGTCCCGGGCATGTCCGGAAGTGGAGCGTCTCCTACAGGACCGTATCTAGAGCGAAACCTCGAATCACTTTTTTTTGTAACCGGTACATTTCGGAAAGGACCCCTTACAAAACATATCGAAAATGGGCACCAGTCGAATTTTCTAAGAATTAAGTATGATATATTTCTCACGTTCCTGAGTAAAACTTCTCATGAGGCCAAAGAAGTCTTACGATTTGTTTCTGAGAAATGATGACGTCTGCCCGATTTGCAAGAATGGTGAATGTGCGGATTGTACTTCTCAGGCCAAAAAACTCGGAAAATTGGTTTATTGAAAGGAGTATCATTAAATCACCTTGTAGGAAGTTGATGAGAAGTGACATGTTGATCCTGAAAAGGTAAATTCAAGGGCAAGTTGATTCTTAGAGGTTAATGCTAGAACGAGTTGCTTGAGAATTCAGAGAACTCAATAGGAATGTTCGCTCCCCAACGGCACAGAAAGGTCATTGTTGTTTCTATACCTTTGATCATGAGCTTTACAAGGATAAATCAAGGTCGTGATCATTTTGAAGATGTAATGGAGACCGCACAGGTGTGAACGCATTTACAAAGTAAAAATCAAATTAATGACACATTAATGGGTGATTTTTTTGCTAGTATCTTTTTGGCAATACTGTTTTTGACAGATGACGCGTGAATCGTGTCCTGTGTCATTGTCAAACTTGTTCAGCTTGGTCTATAATTTAACCATGAATCGACTTACGAATGAACAACGCTTGCAATTTATTGAACTTTACTATCAAAATTCATGCTCGGTTAAGAGAGTGCATCGAGCACTGCTTCCAATTTATGGGCAATTTGGTCGGCCTACTGAGGGAGCTATTCGCAAGCTTGTGACTAAATTTCGAAGCCAGTTTACATTATTGGACATTAAACCACCAACACGCAGACGTAGAGTGACGACTGAAGAAAATATTGCGGCTGTATCCGCCAGTGTTAGTGATGACCGTGAAATGTCGATTCGCCGCCGTTCGCAGCAATTGGGCCTCTGTTACTCCACTACGTGGAAAATTCTGCGACAGGATTTGGGTGTAAAACCTCATAAGATACAGCTGGTGCAAGAATTGAAGCCACACGACCTCCCACAACGTTTCCAATTTGGTGAATGGGTGCTGGCAAAGTTGGAGGAAGATCCACATTTTTATCGAAAAATTGTGTTCAGCGACGAAGCTAATTTCTGGTTGAATGGGTACGTTAACAAGCAAAATTGCCGCATCTGGAGTGAAGACCAGCCAGAAGCATTGCAAGAGCTACCAATGCATCCCGAAAAAATCACTGTTTGGTGTGGATTATGGGCCGGTGGCATCATCGGGCCGTACTTTTTCAAAGACGACAATGGCCGGAACGTAACTGTGAATGGCGAGCGCTACCGTGCGATAATAACAAACTTTTTTTGCCCACAATGGAAGAGCTGAACTTGGCTGACATGTGGTTTCAACAAGACGGTGCCATATGCCACACCGCACACGAAACAATGGCCCTATTAAGAGGCGAGTTCGGTGAACAGTTTATCTCACGCTTGGGGCCCGTCAATTGGCCGCCTAGATCGTGTGATTTAACGCCGTTGAACTATTTCTTGTGGGGCCATGTTAAGGCCAATGTCTACAGGGATAAACCAGCAACGATTGACGCACTGGAAGCCAATATTGAAGCATTTATTCGTGAGATACTGGCCGATATGTTGGAGAGAGTGTGCCAAAATTGGACCTTGCGCATGGGCCATCCAAAGCGGAGCCGCGGCCAACATTTACATGGAATAATCTTTAAACATTAAATTATATCGACTGTTCTATCGACTCAATAAAGATTTAATTGGTTTTTCAAATTTTTTGTGTTTTTTTTTTTAAAATTAAATCCTATACCTCTTAAAAAATCACGCGGATGAAACTGATAATCAATGAATAATATAATTAGATGAATTAACAATAACATCTATTTATTTATATGTGTCTTCCAGGCGACAGAGTTCATTTATTTTAACTTCCATCCATCTTCTAAGGATCATGGTCAAGATCAACTAGACAGCTCCCAGCACCTTCCTTCCAAGGTTTCTTAATGAAATATTTCTTTCGGAATAAAAATTCTCCGAGAATTTAGTCTGAGAACTACCATCGGTTAATTCACACTTTTTCCAAATCGGGCAAACTTCATCCCCTATTTCTCAGAAACTTTAGCCCATGAGAACTTTTTTCAGGAAGCTGAGAAATATGTTATACTAAATTTTTAGGCTAGTCGACTGTGAGCTATTTTCTATATTTTTGTGCAGGGTCCTTTAGCAACCATGCATTTTTAAGATAAGTGGTTTATACTAAAGTCTCGGGAATAGAAAAGCAATTTAGCAATGACCTCAAGTATAACTTAAGTGATGATTATGGAGTTTATTTGTAGGACCAAGTTTTTATATCATTAATGCAAGCATCATCTTTGATTGGTCTAGAGCTGGACCTTTTACGTCACAGCGTGTTCTCCACAACCATCACTCATGTGTTACTCAAAATCATCGCTCTTTTTTCATCTCCCATAGACCCTTGCTTAAAACTTTTTTCGTCAAAATCTATGGTTGCTTGCAATGCTTTACATATAAAGTGACATTGCTGCTCGACACAAATCGGGTATATAAATGGAGGCTAAGATCATCTGAACTTATATAATTTCCAACTTTTCACTTGAGTAAAGTTTGGCATTAGAAATGAATTTATTAAATATAGCGACCTGTGTTCTATACCTTTATAAAAAATATTAGTTGTGACTTGTTATTTATGTCTGATTTTATCAAAGGAGACTTGCATTCATTTTAATTGATGTCCCGTTAAAATTTTGACCTCGGTCAGCCCTTTTCGAATCCTCTATAATTCACTTGACACATTATAGTGTATGCATTGATTGACTGTCATCTTGATCGCCAACGCTTGATCTAGGTTTGTTAGTCAACATTGAACTTAAATCTACGCAGGTCTGTGTGTAATAAAATCCATTGCTTCAATTCTTTGTTGGATGCGACTAAAGTCTTTTCAGAAGGTCATTTGTTTATGCCGCGCAAAATAGAAGTAGATAAGCAGACAATTTTATGTAACGTACAATATTATGGTTTGTATTCTATTATTGAATCAAGCTTTGAACCAATAACTACGAAATCTGTCTCTTCGTCCCGACCCCATCCACGTTATAGTTTGACGCTGTGAACCGTGGAAATCGAGGTTACTAAATTTTGGCGAGTACGAACCTGATGTCGTTTCCTCTATCCAGAAGGAAGAGAACGTTCGTTTGCAAGCGAAACCGGTGATAGGTATTTTATAAACGTCGACCGGTCCCGTCTTATACTGGATAGGACAGGGGAATTAATATTTCATTGGGTCAAGTCTGCTTGGCTCGAGACGTAGTTGCTGAAATTCAGGTCAATATGTAATCTGTCTATTGTCTTGATAAATCCTACTTTGAAGAGAAACTCTGGTCATCTATTATCATAAATTTAGGTTTCCTAGTGATATAAATTATGAAGCTATGTTCTAAAAGGGTGATAATAGTTCAGGCAGCTTAAGTGTTTTCACGTCGCTAACTTTAAGAAGTTGGCTGGTTTATGAATAACTTCCAAAATGTAACTAACTTAACTAATGGCTGGAGGCTTATTATGAGCACGCTTTACTTGCCTTCACAGTCCTGACACAAGCGGGTTGCTGAATATTTTGTTCGCGGAAGACGCCAGCCATGTCCTCCTTATTGCACAGTCGGCAACTTGCTTATTTCATTGACTTCATCAAGAAACCCTATCTGTTTTGTTCTTATGTCTATAGAAGACACAATCCTCATCAACGGTTCGATAGTCAGACGTAATAAGTTGACTTTAGATTAGAAAAGGTTACTTTCATTTGATAATTTTCCTGTCACTAGAAACCAAATAAACGTCCTTAAAACAAGAAGGCCGGTGAAAATGTAGACTGAAAAGGGCAGGCTGAATAGGACGTCTGTGCGACCATAGCCAATCTTGTTTCATGCTTTTCAGCAGTCACCAGTATCGGTACAGGTCTAGTTATTTGGAGACAGATGACGGAAAGCGAACAAGCGAATTGGGTGTAGTGAAAGAGATAGTGCCATAGTGTGCAAAAAATCAGTCACTGTCACGTCTCATGATTCAGATCGGGCAAGGTAATTTTACACAAAGATATAACAGGTACACTATTTTGTTGAAGAAAATGACAGATTAAGGCATCTAAGCGGGGCCGCCCACCGTGCTTCCAATCTAAATGCGCCCTTGACAATGACCAAATATTGAGTGGGTTTTTTATCTGTAGATTTTATGAGAAGTTTGTTAGCAGTTGGTTACCAGGTGGATAGATTGTAGAGCTTTACCGCGATTTTCCATTTTATCCAAATAATGTAATACCTGAGACTTATCCTGTGCTTTACAT